TGAAAATGAATGTGATTCCTGAGTGTGGTTCCATTCACAACCTAGCGTCTATCGTCTTCATCAGGAGGTTGCAATATAGTTTGGCGATGATGTCATCCTTCGAGAGAATTTAGTTTAGGGATGACGTGATTCCTCGAATATATTAAGAAACTGAGGGAAGATACTGGATTTGAGTGTCAAAACGTTGTGATTGAAATCTAAAAAAAAAACCCCAACAAATTCCAAAAGTAAAGTCATCAAGATATTAAAAGAAGTATTGTATCTTGATTATTCAAGATGACATTAGGGCCCAGTTAGACTATAACGGATTTGTTTGTCACGACATCGAATTTAACCGTTTCATGAACCACTTAACAATTGTCAAGATCGGAGACATTATTCTTGAGCAGTACATTTTCATGTCGCATGCACGGGTGTCAGATGTTGAAATCCGAGATAACCGCGTTACGTTCAAGTGATTCGAGCTAATTGCAAACCTGGCTCAGAAGGTCTTGTGCCCACTAGTATACCGGGTGTCCCCCCAAAAAAGTGGATACTGTTTGATTTCATGTAACGTAAAAGCTATAAAAGCTATCGCAATGAAATAAAGATCATTGCATTCAGAAAGGACTAACTTAGATTTTGATATATAGCACAATGAATTTGCATGCAATATTGACTGCGCTATTGATGTTTGAACGTTGAACTACTGTTTTTAAAAATGCCAAAAATGAGCATAAAACAACCTTATAATTACCGATGTAGTTATACTTGTTAAGTAATAAATATTTTTACTTTGGTTGTATATATTCTCGCTCAATATTGCATGTAAATTCAAGTGTTATATATCAAAATCTAAGATAGTCCTTTCTGAATGCAATGATCTTTATTTCATTGCGGTAGTTTTTATAGCTTTTACGTTACATGAAATTAAACAGTGTCCAGCTTTTTGGGGACATCCGGCATATTCAAAATTCCTACTATCACAGAAACTTTGATAATGTAAACCATTCTTTAAAGTCATACCTGTACAACTGTAGGTAATTTTACACGAAATGTGATCTCTTGTGAGAGCTTCTCCTTCAGTTCGAGGTGCGATGGTTGTCTGACAGAAGAACGCCACATCACATGTAGCACGTACATATTTGTTTACCTTTAAAGATAATGTACACGTAACATTTCGTTGTGATACTCGTTTTCAGCATCTTAGGGAGCGGTCATAATTTATGGGGGAGGGGGGTGGCACCGAAGAGAAAAGGGTTGGGTAAACAAAATTTTGAGTGAGTAAAAGGTTGGGTGAATGAAAAACAAAACAACTCAAGGGTTGGGTAATAAAAATTTATTGTCATTTCCAAAGCATGACTCACTCAAATATTGAAGACTAAAAAGCAATGTCAACAGTCATATGTCAATACAATATGTAAATCAATCAATCAATCAGAGTCACTATCTTGATCATTTTCCGATTTGTCAGGAGGCAAATGGTGTCTCCAAAGAAAGTACATGTGCAGACAACATGAAACTTTAGACTGCAGAAAATTGCACAAGCAGTTATCAAACTCATGTCACAGAAGTGGTAAAGGACATGTGTGACAACTGAATGGTATCCTTTTGTAACGTTTTTGCCAGGGTGGGTAATTATTTTTTAATTGATATTTGAGGTTGGGTAATCAAATTTTTGTCTTTTTAATGGTTGGGTCAGCAAAATTTTTGCCAAGAAAAACA